CATCATCCAACATGTCAGCCTCATCTGTCATCATCCAACATGTCAGCCCCACCTGTCAGCTCGGCCTCATACCACCCTCCGGCACTGCCTGGACTCTCAGCTGCCCAACACAACGACCTCTTGGCCTCTCAGGCTTCATATCCCCTCTCCCTTGCTGTGCTCCGTTGGATCACAGATCTCTGATGACGAGAACTGAAATTATTAGATCCGTAAAATCAAAACTGAAATAATTGTGGCAGTGTTTGATGGGAAGTTGACACACTGTGTTTTATTGTACAGAAAAAATTGCACAGTTTTGACAGTTTGATTCAGAGGGAATGTATTTTTTCTATGACGGGAGCAAAAGTATGTAAATCCTGAGTGGAGGTCACATCTCTTGAAGCTCGAGCCAAATATGAGAGAAATGCCAAAAGAAATGTTGTCCGAAGGTGCCTATCAAGAGAGGAGGCTGCCAGGGGTGTCATTTTATATGGTTAGTAAGACGTCCTCAAACCTTTCAGAATGCACAAACGCCATCACAATTTTATTCTTCAAGATGGGCTGAAATCACTATTTCTGCAAAAATACGTCAATTTTGTTTTCAGTGCAGATGTCGTCGTTCACCGTGTTGCAAAAATAAAATGCGTCAAATGGAAATCTGTTTTAAGTTTCATGAAATGTAAATGGTACAAGTCATTTCAAGTGGCAGAAAAACACTTTTCTTTGCTTGTGCCCGTCCAAGTTTAAATCCATTCGTTCACATGTGGAAGCAAATCAAACAAATATAAATCTCCCATTTATAGATGATAAAACTGTTAAATGGACTAAATTATTAAAACAGAGTTGTTTATTCAATACTTTACACTCATACAGCGGTGAAAAGTCTAAATAAAAATCATTAGATTGTTTTGGAAATGATAAAAACTTAATTATGCTTTAAAACAAATTTAAAAAGCTGAGAAATTCAGCCCAACACTGACGTTCAAGAGAAACTTTTTACGTTAGTGACAGTTTGGATGTTTACCATGTGAAGGGGTCTCTGCACTTTGTGTTGTGCAATTTCTCCAGTTATCAAGCTATCTGAAATGTTTTGGGGAAAAATCCTGTTAGAGACTGGGTTGAATGGTATGCATAATGTGTGTGTGTGTTGGGAATGTACCCATTAGAAATACCAAGACTCCCAGTTCCCCCTCACACCCATAAAAGCCCCGTCCTCTTGTGGATCTCCTCTGCTTCACAGACTTCAACGTTCCTCTCATTGTGTCTCGCAGGCTTCAAGTCGTGACTGAGTGACGAGCTGCAGCTCAGAGCCATGTGCAAACAGCTCCTCAACAAGGCAAAGAATTCAGCGGCTGAGCATTAAATAAATAGACGAGTTTTTATGCTGCACATACAAATGAGACTTTTAGGAATGTGTGACGTGAGTGTAATGTGTCAAGACTTCCAGCAAGAATTTCTCATTAAGTGTTTACTTGACTTCCCACCTGCCTCACAGCAGTGAGAACCTACAGCCAGATGCCTTCACATCCCCGTGAGTGAACAAGCCAGACAGCAGCTGGTTCTGTGACCCCACCAAAAACTGTTCAATCAAGAAGACTCAATAATTAACAGGAGACAAATACTTCAGTTCACCA